TGTTCTCCAGTATATTGTTTGTGAATTTCTTGACTGTAAAGGTAATGACATTTCAGTGAAACTATTTTCTATTCCCTTCACTTCGATGAATATGATTTGCGTTCACAGCATGCGAGGATTTTTCGAGAGAAGGTAGACGTAGACAAATGCTAGCGAAAGAAAAAGAAAATAGGCTAAGGAACAAATAAATCAGTGAGAAAACGAAGTGAAACAAACACACTTGCGGAGCCAACGGCGAAATTTTATTCCTAGCTTCATTCATAATTAATCAAAATCCGGAGAGATAACAATTTTCTTTAGTTCCCTGCAGGTTTACTGTTTTCCTCCAACGTGGTTTGAGCATGAAAAATAGCCATTAGCAAGCCTGTCGTTCTGTGACATTTTGAAAGATAAATTCCTCTGAAACAATGATCAAAACGAAACAAAAGAACGGTGAAAAGAAAAAAAAGAAAAAGAAAGAAAGGAAGAAAAGGTAGGGAGAGACTGATTCTTATTATTGCTATCACTTAATAACTTTTCTGGGGATACGTAAATTAGGTCTTAGAGCCAATTTTGATAAATGTAAGTCTTGAGAGCTAATGTCAACATGCATCAAATTCGTTTTCTCTACTACTTTAATATTTTCTAGCCCAACATGTCCTAATAATTGTGGTGTGGTTTTTTTGTTAAAATATATTTCAGTTTTTGAGAAATGAGTTTTTTAGTTCGACCGCTCAAATATGCAAATTTTCACCCTGTAACGATTTTACGTGACCTCCGGTAATTCTGTGGGCATAATCCTTTGTTTTATCATCTTAACTTAATCGCCTGTCATTATTGAAGATGTAAAGGAATATTTATTTTTTGGTGAATATTTTTGTCCGACATACTTTTTCTATGTCTAAAAGTGGCATCAAAACAAAGACAGTTTTAACAATGACCGATATGACAGGATCTACTGAGCTTCTAGCTTTTAAAAGACAAGACGATGGTTATAAAGTTACAGTTATATCGTGAGACGAACTCAAAATCCCGCAAAATTTACTTGCTTACTTGGTGTTGTTCATTTCTTGTGTATTCGTAGTATGCTTTTTTGCATACCTGATGTGAAATCAGATTAAACTCAAATAAGTCCTTCCTCTAGCGATTTCTATTGACTCGTCGGACGAATTATGCTGGAGGAGAGACCAAGTGTGATGCACAATCGGATACGACAACACTTATAGTGAGTATTTCTGCTATCGATAACGGTCTACCTAATGACCTCACTGCAAGACTTTGAACTTGCTTTATCGTTTACTGAGTGAGTATCCAATTGACCCAATTGTTTTTGCATCTTATTGGAACGTAAAAACGCAAAAGAAAACAACATCTAGCTATTTTTCTCGGAAAACGTTATGCAATAATTATTATATTGTCACAAAAAGGCGCGCAGAATTTCGTTTTTGTGCTAGCGATTTCACTGTAGGCAATCTTGGCCGCCCCTGGTGCCAGTGGAAAACAAGAATCGCCCCATATTTTGACAGGTTGTCGGTTTTTAGGGATATTTCATAGCCGCGGGTTTTCGTTTGAAGAGAATATAAAACGATAAAGCAGTTTTGTGCGTAATTTCGTAGTATCTAATTCTATAACGTGTAACAACCTACTCCTGATATAAATATTTAACCCCTCACTTGCTCGAGCCGTCCTGGGGATTATTGACAACACATAAATATAATATTTCACAGCCTTAGGATTCTTGGAAAATTTTATTGCTTTCCACCTGTGCATTGAGCTGTTTATTTGTAACACACCATTATTGGATGAAAAAAAGGATTTGTAATGAAGCAACTTCTTTGGAAAAGAATGCATCAGTTTTTTGGTGTTTTTTGGTTTTCAAATAGTCGTCAATTACGCATGATTTTTTTAAATATAATTTAGTGTAAAAGACAAGGATTCTCCCCCTAAAGTAGGAAAATCATTTTTTTCTTCGAAGGAGAGAGAGAGGGGAGGGGGGGTTAATCTCAAAATGAAGGTAATCCTTCACTCAATTCTGTTATGTTTTATTATGTCTTATTTATTGGTCCTTCGTTTTTAGACCACTTTAGTGCTTTTCCAAAGAAGTTGCTTCATTACAAATCCTTTTCTTTTCATCTAAAACTCGTCGAATCTCAGCTGGCCACCATGGGCTAAGAAAGTCAAGTCGAGTCGATTCTCATCTCCTGGGTGGAGGGAATAATGGCTTAACAATGAGAAGGCGTGTAGTCATCCTAGTATTACATTGATAGTTATCAATAATTGATAAAGTGTGTCAGTGAGGCATCTGTCAAAGACTTTGCGAACGCTTAAACAGTGCTAGACTTGCGCTTCTTCCCTCAAAAGTGAGATTTGCGAAAGATGTCCTAATGTTATGTTGAGGATGGTAGAGCACTGTTCTTTATTTTTGTCTTCGCTCTTAAATTTTTTTCTGTATGGAGGATGGCTTCTTTGCTTTGTAGAAGGAAACCAAGGTAAAGAATTTGGTTCACTCCTTTCTTCACTTAATGCAACTTTAATTTAATATGCGACTTATTGACTGCCTGAAAAAAGTCAAACTAAATTCTTATTAAGAAAGTCTCCTCTACCTTTCTAGGAGCGAAATTTTTATTTTTTGCATCTACTCTTCATATTTAAGTTTAGTTTTGCTATTGATTTTATTTCTCAAGTTTGAAATCGAGTACGCATGGTATTTTAATTTATTCTTCTTCCAATTTCATAACTTTAATTCAACAAAATGCTTTGGTTTTTTTTCGATGTAAATGGTTTCTTTTATCTTTTTTTTCCTCTCGTGGTTGAACTCTTCTTTTACATCAACTTTGCAAAACATTTCACCAACTTACGGTAAACTTAAAAGATACGCTAAACTTCTACGTCTCACTTTGTTTTCCTTCGTTTTTAAGTATTTTGTCAATATGGCGCAGTTCACATAGCTTTGATCAAAAAGGAAAGTGGTGGGAGGGGGGATCGAGAACGCTAGCGTACGTTCTTTTGGGGAAGACGTTTGTTTTTTGTTCCTTTCACTCCCCTTTCGCTTTTTTTTCCCCTAGCTTCGTTGTCATACCATTAAATAAGGCGTAATTTATCACAAGAATATGTTTATATTCCACAAAATATCTTGTTTCTAATTAACGAAAAAATCATAAATAAGTTATAAGAGAAGAAGAAAATTTTCATCCAGCATTGTTAAAAATCCAATTAGAGCACTCGCATTATTCCTCAGGACTATCTTCCCATGTAATAAACGCATTCGACAACCATAAATTGATTTAGCAAATCTCGGCAATATTCAAGCTGGCGCTTTCTCTTTTAAAACGATAGCTCATTCGCGCAACATTGACGACTAACCTGCAATTAGACCGTCGCTGATTTAACGTTGAACAGAAATGTGGACGAATTGGCTAAATTCATTACGGACGTAGGGCTTATTCCAGCTGTTAAAGCACTAGAATAAGACTTATCTGGGGGACACGAATTTGTAATACTATTTGATGCAAAAAAAGGTCCAACATGCTTGTCACCATATCTCTAACTAATCGGTTGCAGGTATTCATTGCCGAAGTCTTATGTTTGAGAAGTCAGTTGGAGGACGTGCTCTGCAACAGCACGTTTTCAAACAAATATATTTAACCATGGCAATTGAGCCCCATAGCGACTGCAAAAATAGGTGCCTCATGGAAAACACCTGTGTGTCCGTCAACGTTGGTCCACCCGACAAGAATGGACTCAGGGTCTGTCAACTGAGTGAACATCCTGATGACCTTAAACCCGAAGAAGGATACCAGTATTGGGCTACAAAGGTGCGGATATTTGGATAGAACACAATACGATAGATTCATTTTCCAATTCTCCTTGGTATGGTTATGTTTAGTTTTTATTAACATAAATCCCACTAAAGACAACTTTATCCCTGCAGAATCCATGTTCAAGCAGCCCTTGTCTTCATAATGCAACCTGCCTAAATGGGTTCACAGATAAGAGATACATTTGCTTGTGTCAAGCTGGTTTCAAGGGAAAAAAATGTGAAAAAAAAGGTGATCAGAAGCTAAGAATTGATCTGAATAAATGTCAGGTTTATCTTCATGCTTGTTTGTTATCTCCTTCTAGGAATCTTTCACTGTGACACGTCTCGTGGTACGCTTCATTAATATTATTTTAATTATTTTTTTTGTTGTTGTTTTTTTGTTGTTTTTTGTTTTCTCTTTGTTTTTGCTCTTTCCCCACCTTCAATGTTCGCGGTTGATATCCGTGTAAGAAATTTTGTATAGTCGATTAATTAATCTGTCATTTGAAAGCCAAATATACAATGTAGACGGTTAATTTATCCTTTCTTACATTTTTCCTTGCCCCTTTAGGGATTGTAAAAATGTTTACGTAATTAATGAAGAAGATACGAACTAAGCTTGCTATCAAAAATATGTTGATATGAGCTTGTTTGTTTTCCCCTCAGCATTCAAAGCAATTTTTACAAATCTCAATGCCACTGGAAGATATGGTCCAACAGCGCTGGGCAGTCACTACACAGGTCAGGATCATGACGGACAAGTTACATTGTCTAGCGGTATTCAACAGTGGACTGTGCCGTACACTGGTGACTACAGAATAGAAGCGGTAGGAGCAGCAGGAGGATACGAGCGAGCTACTAACAACCCTCAGTATCGAGGGAGAGGAGCAAGAATGATTGGAACATTCCGTTTAAAGGAGGATGAAGTTATCCAGATAATTGTAGGTCAAGAAGGAGGAATAAACAAGATGGATCAATCCTCTGGTGGTGGTGGAGGTACATTTTTGGTGAAAGGAACCAACACACCTTTGATAATAGCTGGAGGCGGAGGAGGGATAGATTCTGCACAGTCAAGACATGCAGGATGTGACGGGGGATTATTTAAAAACAAGTGTTCTGTAATTAAAACTTAATCATCATGTTTGTTTTTGTTTTGTCTTCAGGTGGTGGTGGTGGCGGGTTTTACTCCAGTGGAAGAAGTGGAAATGAATTCAAGGGGAGCATGGGAGTGGGTGGAGAAGGTGGTAAGGGATTTCTTCAGGGAGGGGAGGGTGGGAGATCACTGCGTCACAATGTTGTTGGTGGGTTTGGTGGAGGAGGTGGAGCTCATGGATGGACAGGAAGAGGAGGAGGAGGAGGAGGAGGGTACTCTGGGGGAAGCAGTGGAGATGGTTCTCGTGATACCTGTGGGGGTGGGGGTGGCTCCTACAACGATGGAAACAACCAGGACAATGAATGTTGTTATAACACGGCTGGTCATGGTCAGGTGACCATCACATTACTGTAAAAAAAAATACAAAGCGATGATGAGATAAGGGTTTATCTCTGTTTGATTGGCATTCTAATTGTTCTTATTTATAACCCAAAGGTAAATAGAGCTCTTAAGATACGAGATAATGAAGGAAATTTGTTTTTCAGAAATTCAGTCTCGCTCGGTAGGCTTTTGTAGGTCATAAGGTCGAGGCGAAAGATGACGCAATCGCATGGGCGAGACATCCCAACATGTAATTTTATGAGACAATTACAATGAGAAACAAACTCCCGACGATTACATCTTCTGAAAGCTTTGGCTGTTTGTTCCTATACCTTCTCTATTTCAAATCTTTACTGACCTTCCTTTGCCTTCAGAAGATCAGCCAAGATTTGATATCCAGAAGCAATGACTGACCCCTTTCACACTAGATTACCTTAGAATCAATGTCTTTTCGAATGCAGCTTTAATTTAGAGTTTGAGCATGCTTTTTCAGGTGGTGAAGACGATTTTCCATAATTTGAATTCTCTCCCGAAATAGTTAGGATGTGCACGCTGGCATGAAGAACGAAAATACAACAGAGTTGCCATGACAGCTTTGTAAATTGACGGGTTTTATTGTAAATAAATGCTAAAATTGACCAAAATTAAGAAGAAAGTATTTGACTTAACGTACAACATTTGTCAAAAGGCATTGCTGGTTCTATAAAATGTTCCTTTCCAATATTTGAATTATAAGTATTGCATGAGTTTTTTACTAAAGGGATAATATTCTCTTTGTTTCTGTAATAATAATTTGTATCACGTTTTTTGACAGTGTGTAGATAATGAATAATACACTATGTATTTCTTAGATATACTTGTGGTAAACAGGAGGGTATGATTGCTATCAGCTTAAAAGCCTTTAAAACTTTCGCTTAAAAACCTTTGCCTTGACGTATTTTAGTATTTCAGAAAACCAGCCAGACCACGGGCTCTTACGGTAAACTATAACATGAAAATAAAAATTATTTATTGTAAGGATCTTGAAATGAAAGATAAGCGTTAAAAGGGTTTCATGAAAAGGCGGTAGTGTTAATCTGCGGTGGGATATTACTAACATTTATTATAAACACATTTTTGCTTAGTTTATAAACATAAGCTTTTTCATCACATTACCATGCAAAATTTAAGTCAAAGCTTTTTCTGCATCCTAAATGACACTGGAAACTCAAAGCAAGGCAATTAATAAAAATGTTCTCCAGTATATCGTTTGTGAATTTCTTGACTGTTTAGGCAATGATCTTTCAATGAAACTATTTCATATTTCCTTAACTTCGATAAATATGATTTACGCTCACAAAATGCGAGGATTTTTCGAGAAAAGGTAGAGATATACAGATATTAGAAAAAAAGAAGATAAGCTAAGAAACATAACAATAATAATAATAATAAAACCAAGTGGAACAAACACAAAGCTAAAATAACAGATCTAAGCTGGGGGTTGGAGGAAGGGTGTCCCTGTCACCCACCTGAGGAAAGGGTTGAAGAATTGAAAAAGAAGGAGGCTGATATACAGCCATCTTGATCGAACAAGCGTGGTCAATAACTGATTAACTCTAAAGCAAAGAGATCATCACATTTTATAAAGGACAGATACAAGAAAACCTTTCATCCATTGTTTAGGAAATCAAACTTATAAAGTATTTAAGTTAAGTTCCCGTACACTTTGTTTCAACATGTCTTGAAAGTTTCTTTGTTGGCTTCCTTCTAAAATCGCGGTTCCCTTCTTTTTCAATTTTAATGGGCCATATAAGTACTAAATTTCGTCGCCCTCACGTTTTTTCGAGATGGTCGCATCAGTTTTTACTTCAGAACTCTATCGATGTGGTAAATTAGGATTTCCAATCTGCTGAAAATTGCATTAATTTCAAGCCCGATTCGTCAGGCCATTGCTTTTCTTCAATTACAGATGTGGATTACTTGAGGTGTTGCCATAGGAAAAATGTTTTAAAAAACCCAGACACAAGAATGTTAAAGTTATTTCATTATGGCTTGCAGCTGTTAAGGTGAAGAACCAGCCTTCAAACAAAACAAGGAAAAATATGAAAGAAAGCACCTGGAAGCGACGGTCCTTCATCCTTAGAGTTTTGCCGGAAAAGAACGTTTTTAACTCTCTTATCACGATAGTTTGGTTCTTAAAAATATTTTCAGGTAATGTGAGACAAACGAAACAACCATCAGTTATCTTCCTCTCGTATTGTTAGGTTCTTGCAAAGCCCAACGGCGAAGTTGAGTTTCTACCGTCATTCATTATTAATCAAATTTGGCGAGATAATAACTTTCTTTAGTTCCCTGTTTACTATTTTCCTTCGGCATCCTTTTAGCATGAAAATACCCGCTAGCGAGCCTCTCCTTTTGTGCCATTTTGAAAGAATATTCCTCTGAAACAATGATCACAACGAAACAAAAAAACCGTGAAAAAGAAAATAAAACAAAAGGAAGAAAATGCAGGAAGATACTCATTATTTCTTATTACTATCACTGAATAACTTTTCTGGGGATACGTGAGTATTACGTGTAGTATTTTCTCATAAAGGAGCAGTGAAAAACCTATATACCTTTTCGAGTGAGCTAAGGAGTTAATTCCACGCACTACTTGTCAAAATTTAAATTCTTTTCGAGCCTTTGGGCGAGAAAAATAATTAGAAATTACAAGGCGGTAAGACAACAAAAAAACCGAAAAAGTTGCTACAACAGCTGTCTCGATTTGTATGTTGAAATTGTAAAGAAAAGTTAAAGTTTCAGACCAAAATTAGGTACAACGTATCTGTTAGTATTTGGTTAAATCATGACCATTAAAAATTCCTCAAACATTGTTGGTACATTCGCAGCTTCAGTTTTCACGAATCGTTGTGTACAGTGTAATCGGAAAGTGCAATCGGACAGTCGGCTTCAATTGGAGACCTGCAGTCGGACAGTTGAAACAGCCAATCATGCTAAGTCCACTCAGCTAATCCACCAATCAAAGAAATAATCAAATAACCATAGCAACAACCACTTATCCAAAGAAAAACTGAGGAATTTTCAAAATGGAGGAATTTTTAACTAAAGACATTATCTCCACTGGAGATATTTGTTCTAGGTGTATTTGTTTCTTTCGGAAATTGAAATGGTTATGATTAATTGATAACAGGACTTCTTGTCGTTCAATTCTGTCTGTAATCATATCAAGATTTTGTCAATCACTCCTATGATTACAGATCGAATTGGACTCCACTCGGTCCTATTACCACTATTAATATTACCTATGGAAAGTAAAATTGTCCTTTTGTCGGGTGAATAATACATATTGCACAGAGTATGATTTAAGTGATATATTTACATTTACATATAGTTCTAGATAACTGCGTAACCTTCGTTTGGTTTTCTAACATACCTTTTACAAGAATTTATATCACGCATTTTGGTAGAGCGCGCTGGATATGAAAAGTACAGTAACCATGTATTTCATAGATACACTTTTGATAAACAAACATATATCGAAGCCTTCGGCTAAAAAGTTGTTTGTTTGACCTAGAAAGAGAAAAACTGCTCCATGACATGAGGTTCAATCGAGCGTGTGAAAAAGGATGATTGAATCTCTGTTTCACTCGAACTGAAGAAGCTTGATGTTAATTTACCTTACCTAACGCTAACATTACCTTAAATAAGACTTAGCTGTAAATGTGACACAGGGTAAGTCTTAACGTAGCATCTCCGCATAAAACTTTTGAAGGAGAAAAGTGTTCTTGAAGTTTTATTTCATTCGAAAACATCAGAAAGCTGTTACTACATCGTAGGTGAGACTGGAAGCTTGGTGCAAAGCTATCAATAAAGAAAACTCTCCAATATATTGTTTGTGACTCTCTTGACTGTGCAAGCGATGATCGCACGGGGAAACTATTTCAAATTTCCACAACCTTCCCTTTCTGTTTGCGCTTGAATGAATAAATATGGCTAAATCAAGTCTAAAAATCAATTCAAAACTAAAAAAAGGAAGAACCAACAAATAAATAACGACATCAGAATTGAGTGAAGGGTTACAATAGCTATACAGTATTTTCATAGCAAAGAAGTTGTTTCTTTACAAATCTTTTTTTATCCACTGACGGCCTGTCGTGAATAAACAGCTCAGTGATTCCCAACGCTGTGAAATGTTTTGTTTATGTGTTGTCAAATTGACGTATACACAGGTTAAGTCAATATTTTGACTTCCCGACGCAAATTAAGTCAATCTGTTTTAACCGTGATGAAAAGTCTCATGTCACAATGTTGACTTATAGGTGTGTTTCTGTTAGTGAGTTTTCACAGGTGCTTACCAATACTTGGCTGTGTAGCCGCGCGATGCGGTTCCAGTCGAGGCCCACAAATTGACCCTCGCTCACCATAGAGTCTCCAGTAGCTCAGTGGTTAGAGCATCCGACTAGATCACGGAGGGTCGTGGGTTCAAGTCCCATCTGGGGCTCGGATTTTTTCTATTAAAAAAAAAAAAATTGTTTCATCTTTATATGCTCACTTTGGAGGTTGGTTGGCCGCATCTTGATATGCCTTAATGTGACAGCGTGATGCTGTTAGTGAGTTTTCACAGGTGCTTACCAATACTTGGCTGTGTAGCCGCGCGATGCGGTTCCAGTCGAGGCCCACAAATTGACCCTCGCTCACCATAGAGTCTCCAGTAGCTCAGTGGTTAGAGCATCCGACTAGATCACGGAGGGTCGTGGGTTCAAGTCCCATCTGGGGCTCGGATTTTTTCTATTAAAAAAATTGTTTCATCTTTATATGCTCACTTTGGAGGTTGGTTGGCCGCATCTTGATATGCCTTAATGTGACAGCGTGATGCTGTTAGTGAGTTTTCACAGGTGCTTACCAATACTTGGCTGTGTAGCCGCGCGATGCGGTTCCAGTCGAGGCCCACAAATTGACCCTCGCTCACCATAGAGTCTCCAGTAGCTCAGTGGTTAGAGCATCCGACTAGATCACGGAGGGTCGTGGGTTCAAGTCCCATCTGGGGCTCGGATTTTTTCTATTAAAAAAATTGTTTCATCTTTATATGCTCACTTTGGAGGTTGGTTGGCCGCATCTTGATATGCCTTAATGTGACAGCGTGATGCTGTTAGTGAGTTTTCACAGGTGCTTACCAATACTTGGCTGTGTAGCCGCGCGATGCGGTTCCAGTCGAGGCCCACAAATTGACCCTCGCTCACCATAGAGTCTCCAGTAGCTCAGTGGTTAGAGCATCCGACTAGATCACGGAGGGTCGTGGGTTCAAGTCCCATCTGGGGCTCGGATTTTTTCTATTAAAAAAAAAAAAAAAAAAAAAAAAAATTGTTTCATCTTTATATGCTCACTTTGGAGGTTGGTTGGCCGCATCTTGATATGCCTTAATGTGACAGCGTGATGCTGTTAGTGAGTTTTCACAGGTGCTTACCAATACTTGGCTGTGTAGCCGCGCGATGCGGTTCCAGTCGAGGCCCACAAATTGACCCTCGCTCACCATAGAGTCTCCAGTAGCTCAGTGGTTAGAGCATCCGACTAGATCACGGAGGGTCGTGGGTTCAAGTCCCATCTGGGGCTCGGATTTTTTCTATTAAAAAAAAAAAAAAATTGTTTCATCTTTATATGCTCACTTTGGAGGTTGGTTGGCCGCATCTTGATATGCCTTAATGTGACAGCGTGATGCTGTTAGTGAGTTTTCACAGGTGCTTACCAATACTTGGCTGTGTAGCCGCGCGATGCGGTTCCAGTCGAGGCCCACAAATTGACCCTCGCTCACCATAGAGTCTCCAGTAGCTCAGTGGTTAGAGCATCCGACTAGATCACGGAGGGTCGTGGGTTCAAGTCCCATCTGGGGCTCGGATTTTTTCTATTAAAAAAAAAAAAAAAAAAAAAAAAATTGTTTCATCTTTATATGCTCACTTTGGAGGTTGGTTGGCCGCATCTTGATATGCCTTAATGTGACAGCGTGATGCTGTTAGTGAGTTTTCACAGGTGCTTACCAATACTTGGCTGTGTAGCCGCGCGAAAATGAGGTTTGAAAGTCATGTCCTAGTTTTATGTTGAGGATGGAAAACCATATTCTTTATTTTTGTCTCCAGTTTTAGCTCAGTGGTTAGATGGCATCTTTACAGACTAGATCCAAGGTAGAGAATCGTGATTCAAGTCCCATCCTAAGAGCGAAATTTTCATTTTTCCCTTCTACTTTTCATATTTAACGTAATTTTGCTATGGATTTCGTTTCTCAACTTTGAAATAGAATAAGTACAATATTTTAATTTATTATTCTGCTTCCTATTTCATAGCTTTAATTCAACAAAATACTTATGCTTTTTTTCCGGTGTAAATGGTTTCTTTTATCCTCGATCTTTTTCTTCCGGTGGTGGAATATTTTTTACATAAACTTTGCAATACATTTTACCGACCTGCGGTAAACTTATAGGATACGCTACACTTCTACTTCTCTTAGTTTTGTTTCACTTTGTTTTCCCAGCTTTACATTATTTTATCAATATGGCGCAGTTCACATAACTTCAATCAAAATGGAAGAGGGGGAGAGAGGGGGGATTGAGACGCGAGCATATGCTCTTTTGAGGGAAAAAGCTTATATTTTGTTCCTTTAACTCTCCTTTCACTTTTTTACACTAGCTTTGTTGTCATACAACTAAATAAGAATATGTTTATATTCCACAAAATATCTTGTTTCTAATTAAAGAAAAAATCATGAATAAGATATGAGAGAAAAAGGACATTTTCATACAGTATTGTTTAAAATCAGTCCAACATGTAGAAATAATAAATTTCATTCCTAAAACACTCCGAATAAAAGCTGATTTTTTTTTTTGGTCGCAATTATTGCATGATGTGATCGATCTGAGGGAAACGCGAGAATTTATACAGAACTGTACTTTACTCAATTTGAGAAATACTTCGAGAAATGAAGTTATACCGTTTCGAAATAACATTGTACAGACTTACTCGTACCATAGACTCCTTCAGTCTCTTCCTCCCTCAGAATCATCCAGTAAAAATACAAATTTTATCACAGTTCTAGATCTTAATTTTGTTTCAACTTTGCGAGGTAAGTAGCTTTGCTTACGAAATCTCATATGATGAAAAGTCAGCCAAAAAGTCAGCTAAATTCTCAACGGACGTAAAGCTTATTTCAGCTGCTAAAGCACCAGTTAAAGAAAAAATTTATCTCGGGGACACGAATTTGAAATACTATTTGATGCAAGAAAGGTCCAACATGCTTGTCACCATATCTCTAACCATTCAGTTGCAGGTGTTCATTGTCGAAGTGTTATGTTTGAGAAGTCAGTTGGAGGACGTGCTCTGCAGCGGCACGTTTTCAAACAAATATATTTATCCACGGGAATTAAGCCCTATAGCGACTGCAAAAATAGGTGCCTCATGGAAAACACCTGTGTGTCCGTCAACGTTGGTCCACCCGACAAGAATGGACTCAGGGTCTGCCAACTGAGTGATTCTGATCACATTCAACATCCTGCTGACCTTAAACTCCAAGAAGGATACCAGTATTGGGCTACAAAGGTGCGGATATTTGGATAGAACACAATACGATAGATTCATTTTCCAATTCTCCTTGGTATGGTTATGCGGTGTGTTTATGAAAAGAAATCCCACTAAAGATAACTTTATTCCTGCAGAATCCATGTTCAAGCAGCCCTTGTCTTCATAATGCAACCTGCCTAAATGGGTTCACAGATAGGAGATACACTTGCTTGTGTCAAGTTGGTTTCAAGGGAAAAAATTGTAGAAAAAAAGGTGACCAGAAACTTAGAATTGATCTAAATAAATGTCAGGTTTATCTTCATGCTTGTTTGATATCTCCCCCTGTGAATCTTTTACTTTGACACGTCTCGTGATACGCTTCATTAGTATTATTGTTAAAATTATTATTTATTTAATTTTTTTTTTGCTTTTTCCCACCTCCAATGTTCGCGGTTGATATCCGTTTATGAAATTTTGTATGCTTTTGTATTAATTAATCTGTCATTTGAAGGCTATATACAACGTAGACGATTAATTTTTCCATGCCCCTTTAGAGGTTGTAAAAATGTTACGTAACTCGCAAGTACTCAAACGTACTACCTTTTTTTAATTATTGAGGAAGATACGAATTAAGATTGTGTACATTAAAATTAATCAACAGCGAGCCTTTGTGTCATCTTTAAGAAAACTGAAAGAAATTGTGCTGAAAAATATGTTGGTATGTTGGTATGAACTTTTTTTGTTTTCCCCTCAGCATTTAGAGCAGTTTTTACAAATCTCAATGCCACTGGAAGATATGGTCCAACAACGCTGGGCAGTCACTACACAGGTCAGGATCATGACGGACAAGTAACACTGTCCCACGGTATTCAACAATGGACTGTACCGTACACTGGTGGCTACAAAATAAAAGCGATTGGAGCAGCAGGAGGGTACGATTCATATCCTGACAGCTCTCAATACCGTGGAGGAGGGGCAAGAATGATTGGAAAATTCCGTTTAAAGAAGGGTGAAGTTATCCAGATACTTGTAGGTCAAGAAGGAGGAATAAACAAGGGGAATGAATCATCTGGTGGTGGTGGAGGTACATTTGTAGTAAGAGGAACCGACACACCTTTGATAATAGCTGGAGGTGGAGGAGGGATAGATTCTGCAGAGTCAAGACATGCAGGATGTGACGCCAGCACAAACACAACAGGGAATTCTGGGTACAAGTCATGGTCAGGAGGGAGCAATGGACATGGTGCGCAGACTGCTGATGATGGTTACTCAGGTAAGATAATACTGTGATGATCCCTTACCCCTCGGCTCCTCATTAACAAATGTGTCAATGTATGCTTCAAAATTTAAATCATCGGCCCTAATCCCACACAAAACAAAAAACAAAAACAACAACAACAAAAAAACCTAATACTTCCTTGGAAGAGGACCAGTTTATATCGGGGCATATAAAAGGTAGATATTAAAATCTTAAACTTAATGGATGGTGGCTCAATAGAATTACATTATATACAGGTTTGAACAAGCTGATATGGGTACATTAGGGATTTAATATAAAAAAAAGGGCGTTTGTTTACTAAGACTTTACTCGTCATTTTGTGGTTTTATTTGTTCTCAGGTGGCGGTGGCGGCGGGTTTTACTCCAGTGGAAGACATGGGGAGAATTTCAATGGAACCAAGGGAGAGGGCGGAGAAGGTGGTAATGGATTTCTTCAGGGAGGTGAGGGTGGGAGATCAGTGGATCACAGTATTGTTGGTGGGTTTGGTGGAGGAGGTGGAGCTCATGGATGGGCAGGAGGAGGAGGAGGAGGAGGGTACTCTGGGGGAAGCCGTGGAAGTGGTAGTCATGATAGCTGTGGGGGAGGGGGTGGCTCTTACAACAATGGAGACAAACAGGAGAATGAATGTTGTTATAACACGGCTGGTCATGGTCAAGTGATTATCATGTTGCTGTAAAAAAAAATGACTACGTGTTATCATACAAAGTGATTATAAGATAAGGATTCATGTCTGTTTGATTGGCAGTCTAATTGTTCTTATTTATAGCCCAAAGGCAAATAGACCTTCTTTATTTCAAATCTTTACTGACCTTTCTCTGCTGATCCTCAAGAAGATTAGTAAAGATTTGAGTTCCAGCGGTAATGACTGACCCCTGTCACACTGGATTAGTTTGGAGTCATTGTTTTTCGAACGCAGCTGTGATTTAAAGTTTGAGCATGGGTTATCAGATGGTGAAAACAATTTTTCAAAATTTGAATTCTCTCCCGAAATAAGTATTTGATTGAACAGCATTTGTCAAAAAGCATTGCTAGTTCTACAAAATGTTCCTCTTCGATATTTGAGTTATACGTATTTCATAAGTTTTTCTCTCTGTTTACATGGAAATAATTTAAGATTAATTTCTATAATAATAATTATGATGATGATGATAATAATTTCTCTCTGTTTCTGCAATAATAATTTGTATCAAACCCTTTGACAGTGTGTTTTAGGTAAGGGATGTGTGTTTGTTAAATATACTAAGATAAACAGGAAGATATATCTACCAATAGTCTAGAAGCCTTTAAAACTTTCGCTTAAAAACCTTTTCCCTGACTTCTCAGTATTTTAGCCTTCAGCAAACCAGCCAGACCACGGCCTCT